ATGATTCCACTTCCCTACACCCTTTTCTGTACACCGTAATCCGATGATTCCACTTCCCTACACCCTTTTCTGTACACTGTAATCCAATGATTACAGTTCCCTACACCCTTTTCTGTACACTGTAATCCAATGATTACATTTCCCTACACCCTTCTCTGTACACTGTAATCCAATGATTACAGTTCACTACCATGGGTAGCTCAACTCCAGCATATCCAAGACTCAGTCAGCTGGGGAGGAACCCAAGACTGCTCCCTCATCTTCAACCCAGAGACCCAACAATCCAATCCTCTCACACCCGAATTGCTCCCACATTCAGCCCCTCCTCCCTGTCGCCACAGCTACTGCCTTTGCCATTTCTCACGGGATCTCTTTCCATAGTTCCTTCACTGGTCTCCCTGTCTTTACCCTCATTCTCTCTAATCAATCTGCAGCTTAAGGGATCAACTGCAAATGCAAATACGGCCAAGTCCCTCCTTGGATTGGAATAGCTGCAGACAAGGCCTGTCCCGATCTTGATTCTCCTTCTCAGTCTCACAGTTTGAAATGCTGGCACCCTATGTGCCAATCTTGTTGAGCAATTAGAGACTCCATCAATCAGCAAGCTACTGACTGCCTCAGCGTCCCTGCTGACACTGTTCTGTCTGCCCGGAACACCCTTGGTTGCAGCCCCGTGAACCGATGCATGTACCTCTCAGGGCATTTCTTCAATGAAGTCTTTCCTCTGGCATCCTCAGGTGCCCTGACCCTTCTTCTCCTTTGTGCCCCGACCATACCCTACACAGCACCCACAGACTTCTACCCTGACATCTAACCCACCTTATCATATTCACTGGCTTATGCCTACTTCTCTCACTGGATGATGTCAGATGAAGGTGTGAACTACGCCTATCAAGTCAAAGCACTTAACTTTGTACCTAGGTCACTGCAGGGGCTCAGGTGAACAGCTACCAAGTGAATAATAATGGTTTAGTACTGGTCCTAACGTACCAGCTTAGTACCTAGCCCTTAGCATAAAGCTTTTATGTGTCTTCCCACTTTCTCCTTCTGTCCACTGGAAAAAGCCGGCCTCACCCCTCTAAGAATCAACTCAGTAGAGGGGGGCTCATGCTGTGGTTTCAACCAGGCGAGGGATCTGGATGCTTAAACAGGAGAGGGTTTGTTGCTTCCGAGTCCAACTCGGGGCAAAAGGACACCTCTATAGCATTCAATAAGTGGGGCTGGAAAGGAAGTTGAGGAGGAGGGAACTTGCCACTCCAGAGACAGAGACCTACGGCAGGCCTGCTGACGAGATGGGCATGAGAACAAGGGATTCCTCAGTCTTCCACAGCGGCATCAGCCAGTCCCAACAAGGACCACGGGTCAAATTCACAAGTAAACACAACGGAACAGTCTGGAACCCACTCTACTTCATGCTGCCGTGAGCGCTGGCTGGGCCCTTGGACAAGTCGCAGCAGTATGATGGGCAGGTAATTGCCACAGGTGTCTCCAGGTCACCAGGGTGGTGGCGGCTACTGTGCTGGGGAGGGAAAGGGTTTCCTCAGAGCCCCACCTCTGAGATGTCTGGGTGGAATTTCAAGCGGATGAGAGGGTAGCGCGGATTAAAACAGAAAACTCCTTTCTAGACCCCGGGTTGACTTGTCCCAGATGGGAGAGGTGGGTATCTTATTCCCCATGCAATCAAAGAGCTCGGAGAGCGGGGGAGGCTGAGGCTGGGACGTGGACCGTCGCCGCATGCCTCATTCTGGAAGCACAGTCACTACTCCCAGGACGGCGTTTCTACTTGTGGTCACAGGAAGGTCAAGGGGTGCTTTAGCAGCGGTGCTGTGCACACACCCTCACGAGCACCGTGAGTGCCAGCGCCAGGCCCATCCGCCACACTGCGAGCACTAATGGCTCCTGGGAGAGAGCACGCCACCTGCTCCTGACTATCCAGAACCTGCGGCTCCACGCCACCCCCAAATTGTAGCTCCTTCAGAACTTATTTGTGATGGAGAGGAAAGCCCTAATTGAATACAACTGAGAGATGTGGGGAAGACAGAAACTTGGAGTCCTGACTCACCATTTGGGACTTGGATGAGAACAACCTAAATACAGTAGCTGGACTGAGCAGACGTTCCCAGAGCCCTTCCCTGAGCAGTTTGCCAAAAGGCTGGTTTGCTCATTGGTCAGAGGAGACTCTGACCCGCCACACTGCCGGTCTCAGGAGGAATCATGCTACAGCCAGATGCTGATTGGCAAAGGACCAACGGCTGTCCCTACTTCAAAACCAAAGCCAGCAGTGGCCACCCACGGGGACGTGCGGCAAGATCTGCCGCTCTGTGTCCACGCCTCTACCGTGGCGATGCAGCTCCCTGGCTCGCACTTCCCAACTTCCAGACCCTTCCCCAGACTCAGAGATGTCCATGCATGGATACATCCTGGCAGCCAGAGCTCTACCTACTGTGGGAGAGGGCTCAAAGGCAGGCACTGCCGGTTCCTGCCGGTGTAATCGAGTCGAAGGGATAAAGCACACACGAAATCACTGAGAGGTCATTTGAATGATCTAAGCCCATGAGTGGGAGCACACAGCAGGTCCCCCAACTCACTGCTGTGGCTGCTGCTCGACCTGCTAGTGCCGCCATCTATGACTTCAGCGGTAGATTCGGTCGTGTTATTACGCTGCTTCTGATGGGCACACGTTAAAATGAGCTGGCCCGCAGGCCCTGGCACGTGTCCCAGCTGGGTGGTGGGGACACCTGGAGTGTGAGCACGTTGGGTGGTACGTGTGCCACGACAAATAACCCACCGAGGAGGACCCACCAGGACTTACTTTGCAAACTTAATGCAGAACTGAGTGAAGTACTTCCGCGTGGAAGCGAGGTTGTCTCGGATGATGGGGACATTCTGCTTAATGTGAAGAATGACGGAGGTGACGTAGGGGCTCTGGTCACCAACGTGCTCCACATTCTGCCACTGCATCTGAAAGGGAAGACAGGACAGAGCAGCCTTTAGAGCAGCAGTTCTCAACCTTCCTCACGCCACGACTCTTTCATACTGCTTCTCACATGGTGGTGACCCCCAGCCATAACATTGTTTTCATTGCTGCTTCATCACTGTCATTTTGCTACTGTGATGAATCGGGCGACCCCTGGGAAAGGGTCGTTTGACCCCCACAAGTTGAGAACCGCTGCTCTAGAGCCTCCCCCGGAGAGCAGCCTCATCACTCTTTGGAGCAGGGGCAGGTGGAACAGAAATGAAGACCTCGGCATGCTCCCCAGGAGGAGGTCCCCTTGGGGAACTTTGTTCTAGCCGTCCTGCAGGGGCCGGTCCGGAATAAGAACAACCGTGGCCATCTTATCCTTGACAGCCAGTGTAACTCAGGGCCTTTCCCGTCCCTGACCCCTTCTTCAGCCAGCCTCCTGCCCCACCTACGCTGCTGGCTGCTTCCCTGCCTTGTCTCCATGTCCCTGGGAGCACCCTTGGCAGGCAGATGGACTGAGCGTCCCATTTTCCTGTCGCTGATCTGCCAGAAGAGGACTGCAGGAGAACAGGGCAGGTCCGCTGCTTGGGAAATCAGAGGAGCAGCTGGGCTAAAAGTCACACCTGCTCTGAGTGTGGAGCTGGGTTTGACGGCCGGCCCCTTTGACAGACAGGATTGTGGCACGTCCATACACCAGGAGACAAGTCGTTGAATACTGGCTAGTCGTTGAATACTGGCTAGTCGTTGAATACGGCACGGACTAACAAAAACTAAAATCCGGTAGAGGACCAACTGAGATCTTTCTCTCAAGTGAGCTGGGAGGAGTGTAGGGCTTTTTGAAAAGGAAAGGATACATGAGCCGATAGGCGAGATTTGCTTCAAGATAACTGAGGTCGGGAAGAGGCTGGGGGCACAGGGCACATAGGATTAGTGTAGCTGGACAGTAGCTATATGGGAGTCATAGTACTATTCTCTCTACTGGTATATACACTTGAAAAAATTACAATAAAGTAGTTTTTAAAGGTGCACGCGTGTGGGAGCTCGTGTGTGCTCTAATCTCTGTAGGGTTATGTTGGGGTTCTGGTCAAACCCTAGAGGCAGATCAGAGGGCCGGTCAGTGACATGGAGAGCAGCACAGTGGACTGTGTGGGTGACCAGGGGGTGGGGTGGAGGGCGGGGAGAGGAGCCGCAGTCACGTGGGCCCTGGCCAGGTCAAGAACACACGAGTGAGTGACTGCTTCGGCCCACGTCTGCGCAGCCTGTGGAGAACAAGGGGAGCGCTCTGGAACGGGTCTGCAGTGGACATCGCTTGTACTGTGACAGTACTGAATCCTATCATGAGTCCCACGTATCTACCACACTTCTTGGCCTCAGTGGCTTAAGGCCCTGGAAAAAGAGGGGAGAGAGAGAGACAGAGACAGGCAATGTGGGGTCGCACCTCTTCCCAGGGGTCTCCCTGGAGAGAGCAAGGGACACGCGACCGCCGGAGCAGGCGCTCGGCTGAGTGCCCGACAGCGCAGCGCTGGACGGTCTGCTCAATGCAAACCGGGGAAC